TAGCTCATGTGCAAACATTGAAGTAAGCTCTCATTTCTGTTTTGACATCACATCGTAGCAGCTCCACTCCAACAGATCGGACCAGTTGATAAAGTCATTGTTCTGACGCTTGATACACCAGAGTCTCCACTTCGTTGGCACAGTACACAAAGGAGAGTTGTGGTAACCTCCAAGACTGTGAATGAATTTTGTAAGACAGTCCATCTCACTTGTCTTTTCGTTACCTGTGTTTACGATGACTGCAACTATCAACGTTTGATGAGGTGATAGAGCATCTATGGTGGCTATCAGATCATTCACGAGGAATCGTAGAGGGTGTACCAGATAAATAACACAATCCCAACTGTCCGGTTCATCCTCCTCTCCAGTGCACCCATTCGTTCTAGTGACACAACCTCCACTAACTTCAATTGATCCTTTCGTAACGGTGAAGTTGGTTGTCGTATTGCAAAGCACAGTTAAATTATACTTGTTTGTTGGAATGTACGAGGCAATATCAGGATTTGGTAATTCCAGCTGCAGCATACACTCGCAGTACGACAGCTTGTCGATGTCAAGAAATGGTAAACGACGAATGCGTATAGTTCTGTGGACTGAGCCATGAGATAGGGTAGATAGGAAACGCCGAAAAGAGTCACTCTCTTCAGTCTGATATCGAATGGCTTCATACGCCTCTTGAAAGGAGATTTGTGGAGACCGAGAGAAGAGGAGCTGGCAGAGACCTTCGTTTAACCAAGTCCATTGATTTATGTAATCGAGCATGAGAGTAAAGCATCGAGGTGTCGAAAGCATCCATTTCCAATGTGGGATAGAGTTGCAGACCCTTACCAAATCCGCAGCATCGAGGTATTTGCATATTTTCAATGCCAATTCAGGTGGAAGATCGATGATTCTACGACCCACTGCATGATTCTCCTAATTTTATAAATCAAAAACACATAAAACCTTAGGCGACATGAAAAGAAAAGAGAGCAAGCATAGAGGATAAATAAATAAGTGCTAGATGTCTAGGTACAAAGATTAGTAAATGAGGAGCACGAAACAGGTTCGGTGGCAGTAGCCCACCATTGCCGAACGGCACCGACACAGATCGGGTGTGTCGGAAATCGAGGTTTATATACCTGACATCTCGAACAGGAAATTTGACTGACCTCACCCACACGTAAACACACCGACTCTTTTTGTGTTGTCCAACAATGAGTGTGAAAACATCAACTTATGTAGCTGATTGTTATTCGTGTTAGGACACAACACCGAATGCGGTTGATAATCACGAGAACTCACAAACCGTAAGATAATTGGGTGCAGTGCCTCCCTTACCGACAGTAGTCATCAACATGAACCAACAGCGCAGCGTTATTAGAATGATTGTTGAGTGGTAAGCTCACCCTTCCTACTGAAAAGTAGGGCAGGGATGTTCCATAGCGGCAGTACTCGAGCAACGGAAAGCTAAGCACTTTTTGTGTAGAAGATTGATTTTAAGCGACGAGAATGTAAACAGTAAACTTAGTCAAAATCTATGAAAGGGAGGGGAATTGTCCTTGGCAGTGTTATCCATGCGGTAAGTGGTCTTGCTGTTCTCTCCATTTGTTACGGAATGTAATTCGTGTCGGTGTACACGATGAGCGCGTACAACAGACACATAAGTCACCTTGGACACTTTGATTCCTTTTAATACGAACTGCGTTTTAATTCGTATGTTACGCTTTTATGACACAAAAGCGACTGGTTATGTCGAGTTAATGAGTGGATGCGATGCAGAACGATTTGATGGATGGAGCCTCCTCTCGTCGAAATATGTGTAGCATTAAATGATTATAGGATATGAGGAAAGTCTTTGATGGGTTCCAATATCAAATTTCTGACTTTAGTTGGAATTTTTTGCTTTTTTCGTTCTCCATATGTTTTTTGAGGCTCCGCATTCAAAGTCCTGGCGGAGAAGGGTTATGCACAAAAGACAAACCAGCTTTGTTCTCTTACTCCATCAAAGCAGTTCAGATCGGTGGAGACCGCTGTGTGCTCTGTCATATATTCATCTGCCGTTCTCATCAATCATGATGCCCACAGTTTCAGTTAGTGGCACCGAACTAACTTGAATGACGTCGGTCCCCCCAATAGAGTCTTCACACACTCGATATCCGAAGTTCAGTATTTCGTACACTTATCATCAAAGGTTTCATTCTAAATTGAAGTCTTTGTAAAACATCGTTTGGTGAGATCCCACCATCCACATCTGTAGCCACAGGCATGAAGAGAGATTTGTAACTACTGTAATTGGACATTAAAGGGCATTTTTGCATCATTAAGCGACCAGGTGAACCTGTAAACAGAGAACCAGCCTAAGTCTCGCGCATGCATGGATCAGGTAACGATGCAATCCGCAAATCCCCGGCTGATTGTTCATTTACCACCGAAGGTTATAGGATTAGCAAGTTTTCGGATCAGTTACATAACAAATATATGTTAACTGAGAAGTTATTTCGAATCTTCAAAGGAGACGAAAATGGGTTTGTCAGTCACTGGGGCTCCATACTTTCAGTTTACGAAAGGAGAATCTTTACATGTTTGTTGATATGATTGGTCACTTAACCAAAACCTTCCCATATCCCTTACAGTTCAATTCCTCACAACCTGAAATGCAATTCATTGAGTTCATTATGCCTCCGTGAATCACGAGCGACTAAAACTGGGTGGATTTGGTGCAGATTGTATTGACGGATAATTCATTCACTAATAATTTCGATGATGAACTGCGAATTTAAAAAAATGTGCTGTCAGGAGAGCATTTCCCATCTTCGTTTCACATTCGACTTATCCACAGTCACAAGGCATGGAAAACACCTGTTTGTTGCCCATGCACATGTGCCGTGATCCACGGCACAACACAAACATAAATCCATTGGAGGTGCCTCTTCTCACTTTTGCACCTGCGTTGTTCCTCTGCCTCTTAATGATGGTGATTCAAAATCTCATCGTATCACCAACCCTTCAACACTTTCGTCATCCTCCTATTCATATCACAGGTGGATTTGGCCATTTGACAAAGTCAGCGATGCTCATCCCTGCCAGTAATGCGTTTTGCCTTTAATCTTTAGGCTAAGTTAGCTGAGGAAGCTCTTCCAATGGAGACTTGCTCTACCACTTCGAGTTCGAATGCCAACATTTTTTGATTTTCGAGCCTCACAATTAGACGCAACTGCGTACTGCTTTGAAAAAGTTGAAACCCATGCTTGCGTAGTCACGCGTAGGTTTCCAGCTTCCACCCCCTCCTTTCTCACAGTGGTAAAACAAATGATAATAGTAAACGTTTTTTTAATTCATCCTCCTTGTCCGCTACTCACTTGTCTTCATGGCACAACTATTAGCAGTCACCTCGTAATTTTGACACAAACTTGGCAACTCTCACACCATAGTGTCTTTTACAACAATGCTCTCTTGTCCAATCTTGATTGGTAGGATAGCGAATTCTTTTCTTTTACTGATAAATGTTTGGCTTAAAACGCATGCCCGCGTATCGTACTTGGGGATAGAGCAGTGCGCTCCCCTTCAAGCGTGTTTTGCGGATACACGGCAAGGACAATGGGAAGCCTAAACATATGGAACTGCTGGGCTCCCAACCACCACTTTGAAGGAGCTACTTACACGTGGAGATTATGGTCTCGCTTTAGCTAAAATCTTCTTCAAGTGGATAGAAAATAAATTCTCGCATGTTTTATTGGAATAATGCGGCACCTGATGAAGATATTCTTACTTAATCTGCCAAACATGACTCAATCCCAAGCATCCATTAGTGTCGTCCCATGGCAGAATGCTATTTTTAGTAATGATAACGAAGTGGTGAACGATAATGCAGTGAATGAGAAGTTGTGGAAAGCATGAAAAAAATTAATAACACATCTCAGAGTTTAGTTAGGGCAAAGAAAATGTTAAAAGGGCAAGTAATAGAAATGGGTGAACATGATCCGCGTTTTAACAGGATGCATCAGATAGACACGATGTCAAACAACACGACACTGACACACGATCTGACCCATTAACTTCTAGTAGCGGCATTTGCTTGCATCACTCACTTCGTCTTTTCCCATTTCCTCCCCTCATGCCACTATTACTGCAACTCTTTCACCTTGATTTAAGTTCCTCATTAATGATTTTCAAGCACGCACCACTTCATGATGCTCTGATTAAAAAACTGTATCTCTTCTCACTGATATACACTCAAAGATGAAGAAATTCTGCATTAACCTGTGATAATGTTCCATCGAAGCCTCTGTCTGCTATGCACTTCCCGCTTCTCAATAAGCAGATTAAATGTTAAGAGCCTTCAGTGCCGCAAGGGAAACGTGTTTTGACAAGTGTCACACTTTACTGTAAACACCAGAAAGTGCGCGGCAATGGAGCGGCAGTGTATAGATTTGACAGATACGCATAAATGGTGAGGTGCAATTGCAGTCGCAGTGGGAAAGGACAGAGAAGAAACAATGCTGCTACGATGTGATGTCAAAACAGAAATGAGAGCTTACTTCAATGTTTGCACATGAGCTA